ATCTAGCTCCCAACCTTTAAACACAACTGCCACCTAGTGATGAAAAACACACCCAGAAGACCTCTTGGCACATCAACTGTAAATACTTATTTCAGGAGTAATTAAATCAACGATGGCCACTACTTAAAAGGCAGGTCCACTTTATTGAAAAAGTGGTGAAAATGAATATTTCAAGCAACCAGCAGAATTATGAATTGTGTTATAGTCATACACATAACCTACAAACAATTAAAACAGCAATCTTATATTTCTGAATCGACTCATTCATTCTTTTTGCAATCGCAACTAATTAACAAAAAAATATGCTTTTTAAAAAATACTCCTTGATCCTTGTTCGATGATTTATCTATTTATTGAAAGACAGAAGTCCAGTGGTAGTAACTGAACTGACTTCTTTTATAAAGTCACTGAGAACTGCTCATGAGGGACAGTTTGATTTAAGGCTCTCCTCTCTTTAACAGCACTGGTATGCGTCTCTTATCTCTTACTGAGAAACTGCTGTTTGAGACGAGCTCAGGGAAACGAGCTCAACTCACCAGGCATGAAGCATTATCTCTGATTCTGCAACAGGACAAGATAGGATCCACATTGGGGAAATAGTTGTTCTGTACAGAAACAGAGCACAAGTTCTTAATGGTTCTAAAAATACCATGTAATGTTAATTTATTACCGTTTAGTTCAATTTGAGCTAAAACAAGATGGATATAATCTAAACCAATACGAAGGATAAAATGTGTTCGGATCTTTTATTTACATTTTAAAAAAGCACACATCTGTACGCTTGACAGCACAGTTCAAAATGGGATCATGTAGATTATTTTACTCTAATTTGTTAATTTGGGATGAAGATTACAATGATTCGTTATTCTGTGGCATTTATGGGTGGCATTTGTGTCTCCTTGCAACCTAGTAACAACAGCAAACTATTTTTAAAAAAACAGCATAACTGAAAGGGACAATGTTGTACATTATTATTTGTAAATTTGGGCATTTCATATAATTGTTGGCTGTCAAATATCGATCATTCAGCTCCGAGTGCAATTTTTTATGAAGAGGGATTTTGCTGTTTGTCATGAATAAACTTGCACTTGTCATTGAGTCATAATTTTGTTGCATCCTTGTTTGTGTTTTGTGCTGTTTTGTATTTATACCGAGTTTCGTGTATTTTCATAGAAGACGGGCATTGCGTATTAGTTTCGGTAATAAATGCTTTTGCTTTTGTGGTTAATGGTCTATTGTCCATAAAAGTAAACATTAAATACATATATTTAATGCGTGGCAAAATTGTATTCATTTAATTTATTTATCAATATTTAATCCATTAAAATCTTTTAAGCAAATAATATAAATTTTAAAAAAAGTTCCAGCACTCAAAAAAAACTTTTTAAATGACATCACCAAGTGTACTGTACTGCTGTATTAGGACCACCCACTGCTCCCTCCCCTCATCTCCCAGCATGCATCTGTTACTGTATCCAGTTTGAAAAAAGCAAAAAGAAAAAATCTCTCAACTGATCCCTCCAAGTACAATGTGTTCCTAACGCGGGGAGGCGGACCCGTACCATCACTCAGGACGTGTTTCCCGCGCCCGCCAGAAGATGGAGCCATTTCCCACCAAATGACTGGACGGTGGTGGTGGTGGTGGTGGTGGTTGGGGGGGGGGGCATCACTTCAGAGAGACACCGACCATCGGGCGTGGAGGAGGCCGCAAGGGAGCAGGGAGGTGTAAGGACGTTTCACGCACTTAGCGTCCCACTGGGATCTTTTTGTCCGGGTGCGTGGAGGCAGCTTGGGCTTACTGGCCCCGTTTGCGCCATATGCCACCAGGGGCCGGGCTGTCACATCCGATGAGGACGTGCGCGTGATGGCATAACTGACCGTGCAGCTTTCAAGTGCACACTCACAGTCACCGCACAGCATTCATCACTTCAAAATAAAAAAAGAAGCGGTTTAACTGGGTGGTGTCAGGGATGGAACCGAAGTTCAAGCTGCTTTTTGTTTGCATATTTTAAGGCGTACATTTCCGGTTAATGTGTACCTTTATGGCATTAGTTCGTAATATATGTGTATGACTGTCATATTAATGTAACATATATGATCTTTTAAGGATAAGTGCATTGACTAATGCCTGTGAAAACATATCTGATTCTTTATAGATGGACAGGATGATAATTTGCTGGAAGTCAGTTAATACATCTGTTCATTGCCTACATACTATGATTATTGATTTCAAGGCCTTCTGTGAAACTGTCTGAGTATTTCTACATGAAAAGGTCAGACTGCCGTGCATTAAAGCATTAATCTGACACTTGAGATCTCATATGGGAATTTTATTGCTCGCAACATTTCCATGTTTTTGCCCCCGCAATATCATGCCTCATATACAGCATCTTCATTGTGTCTCTGTGCATGGAGCAAAGGGGTTTTGCTGTACAATGCAACATCACCCCATTAGATATTACATTCAATCTAGCCAGAAAATCCTTTAAAATATGTCAACAACTTTAAATTCACAAGCTGGAATTAAATGTAATGTTTTGTTATGTAATCTCTAGGGCCCAAAAGGTAAATAATGCAAGACAATAGAGATGTAAATCATCATACAGAAAATGTATCACTGCAGATCTTTCATGCATTTTCACTACTTGCTGTATATCATTACAACATTGAATACTTAAAATGTATATAAATCTGTCAACTCAAGACATTCACAAGCACACATTTGATGCAAAACTGAAAAGCTGCATTGAAATAATTTAATAATCCCCAACTGCACCTTATGGCTGCTATAGGAAATGCCTTTATGTATGAGGTAGGCCATTTTACAGCAAAGCATTCACGATATTATCAGTGTTTCCCATTGTTGCTTAAACTATTACTGTATTCTATTCAACCAACCGAAGTCCTACTTATTAGTGTAGCGGTGTTATAGCGAATGTGTACGTAGTCAAGAGTGGCAAGTAATAAGATAGGAGAGGTGAATAGAACAGAAACGATTAATGTCTCCGTATGGCAAAATTAATATCCGTGAAGCAGCCTATACAAAGACGGCTTTCACATAAAGCACGCCATCGTCCAAACTGTACACTGCAACGTCACATACAATACAAAGGTTACACCGACAGAAGTAGCAGAGAATCACATCATTATTAAACAGTGTGGACTGTTTAAAACCAATCTAATAACTGGAAATGCAAAGGGAATATAGGTCCACGTTACGCACATACGGTGGCTAACCACCTTATTAGCTAGCTACAACACCAGCGTGCCTTAAACGATTTTAACGGCAACCCAACGTTAAATTAATTGGCAGGAAGTATCTTGTAGTGTTCAGCGTTTGATGCTACATATAGCTAAATGACGACAACTTCAACATTATGTTTACTGTGGGAGCTTCTATGTGAACTGCACGCATCCGGAGGTAACCTACTTAGCAATTAGCAGTGTTAATAAGGGCCTGTAATCTGTAGCGCCAAAACTTCCGTCAATAGAGCGCTAATAATATTGACTAGTACCGACACAAAATCAGTAGAAACGCTGTTTGTTAACGTGCTGTGCTAGTGGATAAGTGGATTAAAACAAACTGCTCACAACAGGTTCGTCGTAATGTTGCTAAATTAGCTAACGTGTGCTAAGCTAACAGGCTAGCGCACCACCGACTCGTTAGCCCATAGTTCGGTTCGACGGGTGGGGGAGTCCAAACAGGCGCGAGGTGAACTCGCGTTTGCCGCAGTTTGTTTGCAAAAAAACGGAGCAGTATTTTGAAAACCACACGCAAGGACACGCACTTTTCCGCTGTCTAGTGTCAATTCCTCAAAATGGGGTCTGCTAACGTACGTCTCCGCCATTTTGTGACAGGTTTTTCATTGAGCAAAGGGGTACGTGTAATGGTTGAATGTAACCCCATCAAGGAGATATCCGCTTGGCAGTTACAGGGAGAAGGGATCAGGAGTAATTTTCAACCACCCTGTGAGATAAAAGACGTGTTGAGGTGGTCAGCCAGGGGATAGCGGCTGCTTACCGCAGTGTTAACAAGTTTACAGAAAGAAAGATAAAAATAAACACCAAACACGTTAGTTACCATGTGTAAACCACCAATGATGTCGACAACAAATAACTATAAATAGATGCGTGGACAGATAGTGATCACAATGTGTAGTGGAAGTATACATTTATAATTGACATCATAATGTAGCCTATTTATTGCCCAGGATTTCCAAAATCAACAAGATTGCAACACAAGTGGCACTTGATGTAGAAACATCCAAAATCAAGCTCAAAGGGTAATTGCAATTGACGTAACGTTTTCAATTAAGTGTTCAAACCCAGGTTGCACTGAATTACTGTTTAAAATGGCACGAGACAGAGATATCTGATTATTTAAGTCCCTCAATAAATATTTTTGGAGTGAGTACGAGAGTCATAATGCACATGAACGCCTATGCAAGAATATATCATTTTCCGAAAATGGAAATGCATGAATGTCAAAAAAAATTTAGTGTAGTGGTAAATTTGCCTTTAGATGATCCTTAAAAAAACAAGTAAACAATCATTACTCATGATCAAGTACTTCACCCTCCTTAAATATATGAAGGATTTATTTATTGTGGAAGTATTTTTTTCCCTTATATATCATGCCTTATTTTTGTGTAGAATAGTGGATTGAAAATAAAATAAAATGTCAATAGACAATACTACAGACTACTGCAGTGCTGGTTTTAAGTGGCTGCATGGTATCTTTAAATATTGCTGTGGAGTATGAAATTGTTTGTTTCCTATTGGAAATACTCTGGAAATACTTTTACAGATATAAAAAAAAAAAAGAAAGTAGGGTCGCCCTCTATTACACGCCTGGTTGGGATAACAAGGGAGCTATGTTAATTAGTGTTATCCCCTCCCCCCACGGGACATTTCCAAGTACCTCCTGACCCGTTTTCCAAACAGAGAAACGAGTTGTCAGACGGTCCCTAAAAAAGAAAACAGTCTCTATTGTTCCAGCACCCGCTCTCCGCTCTGGAGGGTGCAGTGCCGCCTGTGGCCACAGAGGGCGCTGCACGCATGGCAGTCCGAGCTCCTCGGCCTCCACATCTTTTTGTCTGAGAACTGCATCCCTCTGCCGCTCTACAGTGTGCGATAGCCTCGGAGCTGCGTCCGTAACACTGTCAAACCACTCCAAACGAATACAACCGCGACCAAAAGCATTAATTCTACACATTCGGCCATGGCGTTTGCAGTCTGCCGGTGAATCGGTCGTATTTGTGACTGTTCGTCGGAACTTAGTCCGGGGTTGAATTCGGGCTCGCTTTCTGTGTGCATCAGTCTTTATTAGCGAGCTGCCGCTCTTCTTGCTATCAGCTATTTCTTTAACTTTTTAAACACTCAGCTTCGCGAATGACTGAGCGCCGGCGGAGTATGGGATCCTTGGTGTCTTAAGAAGCGTCTGAAGTGGGGTTTAACCGTTTTTGCATGCAAAAACAATGGCAAATTCGACGGGGAAAAATCTACTAGATCAACGAAGGAAAGGACAGGCTTTCCTGGACGAGCTGCGGCAATTTCACCAAAGCAGAGGGTGAGATTGGGGCGTCTTTATTCCCAAGAAATGCAACTTTAAATCTTAATTGCATTCGGCCGTGAGTTAACCCAAACTGTTATTTAAACACGTATGCCTTTATTTCTTGTGTTATCCCCTCAGATCGCCGTTCAGGAAGATTCCTATCGTGGGTGGGAAAGAGCTGGACCTGAATGCTCTCTATGTCAGAGTCGTCGCTTTAGGTGGATTTGCTAAGGTGAGTGGGAACTAAAAGTGGATTTCTCTCCACACTGCGTGGACTCCCCGGTGGACGACTCTACAACTCGGTCGCGAGAAGCCCGGGACAAGTGTAAACCCTCCACACAAACGATAGTGGGTCTGCGTTGGCCTTGTGCTAGTTCTCCATGTATCTCTATGCAATGTGGTGGCTTGTGTTGTTGTGTGCTTTGAATCGGGAGTCCCGACCGCTCGGCAGTCAGAGTGTAGTCGGAGCGGACTCGAAATTAGCGGGCACGTTTAACATCGATTATCAGCACGGAGCCCAGCCCCGGGAAACACCGCGTAGCACGCGGCGCCTCGCCCGGGGTTTTTTACCGGTAGTTTCCACCCGGGGGGAAGCTTGATAGCGCTTTCTCGCCATAGCCATCTTTCTTTCGGCTTCATGGCTGATCTCAAAATGTAGGCCTCACAGGCCCGTGTAGTGAACACGGTAAACGGTGCAAAAACCTGCTCCGACAACCGAACGGCTCTCCGCACGCCGAAGCGTTCGTGTTTAGGCGGAGGCGGTTGGTTTGAGTTTAGCCTCGGTCGGTTTTAACGCAAAATTTTTTGAAAAAGTCAAGGTAGCTTGTTAGCTACGGTGCTAACTAGCCTCAACAGTAACGATACTATCCTAAAGGGAGTCAGTTGTACTTACTGATGTGACAAATGTAAATATGTTAGGATAACGGGTATATTAGCAGCTAATTTAACGATATTCTACCAAATGCGAGCCACTGGTGGGTAATTTAAGGCACTATTTTTAAATATATTTTCAGCAGTTGGAGGAAGTTATTGATTAATGATTGGCCTCATTGGGGGGAACCTGTAGCCGACCAGATGGTTATAGTGAAACCGCTCTTTTTTGTGTTGTTGTTGCCGCTGGAAGTGCTTGTTATCTCCCTAACGGACTCGTTTCCCCCGTCTCCTTCCAGGTCTCTGACAAAAACCAATGGATCGAACTCGGGGACGAGTTCAACTTTCCGAGGAGTTGCTCCAACGCTGCATTTGCTTTAAAACAGTACTACCTTCGGTAAGTAGCACGACCACGCAGCTCTCCTCCCAGGTAGCATGTGGGGAGTGTTTACAAAACGAGATGCAGCAGCCAGCAGGATCTCGAGCCTCTACTAGGAAGCAGCACGAGCGCGATATTATGACGTGCAATTAAAGCATGGGCCATAATAGTGTGTGTGTATTTGTCATGACATGGTGGATTACCTCGATGGCTAACAATCTGAGCCATCTTTTATGAAAAATACAAGTGTATGGCCAAATGTTTTCTTCTGTAATTTGTTATGTCTGGAACAGAGTTTTGAAGAGCATCTGTCCGTGATGACCCTACACCATACACTAATGGCGGTTATTTCTTTCTGAAAACGCTGTGGTGCCTGGGTACGATACAGCTACTATGGGCCGAGCAGCTCCAGGCTCTTTAACCTGTGTAACATTCAGGCTCCCTTAAAGTTTTAACACAGTCAGCTGCCAGTGATGGGAGTCGGGTGGAAATGCAGCTCTCCTCAACAGCTGGCGTTTGTGGGTTGTTTTTTTTGACGGTCGCTACCGTCTCCATACTCCCTTTTTTTTTTTTTTTTTTTTTTTTTCTCCTCCCCTCTACCTCATGCAACGATTGTTTCCATCACTAGCACCTGCCTGCAGGGAATTACACCCCTGTAGCAACCTCTCATGGATGTGTTACAGGCAACTGCAGGTCGCTGGTTGATGTACAAGTAGTGGCCAATAATCCGTGTATTTTTTATTTTTTTTTACTAAGTTGGTGCGAGCTGTTGGGAGCGTAGCAGCTCGTTTGATTGCCAACTGGACTCGTCTGATGAGACTTGTTGCTCCACAAAAGTAGACATCAGCGATGGCTGCAGGGGGGCTGAGCAACTCGGGCACATGGAGGGCATGTGGTGCTGCTGAAGTTGGTGGAGGTCTTTCTGAGGGCCATAATGGCCCCACACATACACATATTTAGTGTAAAGGACGGAATACTTAACAAAGTGTTTTTTCTCTAAAGCAGAGGATTATGTAATGGTTTGCTTGGCTGTCCGGATGGCTGACTAGACTGTTGTTTAGGTCTGTTCTCCGAGCGGAAGTAGCTGCAGTGCAAAGGTGTTTAGTTTCTGTGATCTGATTCAATGTGTGAACTTACCTTCAACGGCTCAGTAAAACACTAATATTCAGATATCCGTCTTTGTCTGACAGGCTTAGTTTTGAGTGTGTCAAAATTTGCAGGAAGTCAACTGCTTTGTTGAACCTCCATAATACTTAAAAGCTAGACACAGTTCGGCCGCCTAATGCGTCGTTTATCTGACAGCCGAGTCGACCGACCAGCTGGATATCACCAGCCGGCCACCGGAGCTTCTCTGTAGAGTTTGTCTGAGGCAGTGCGGTGGATGTCAGAGGCAGCAGGCGGCTAGACTGGTCTTGCCTCAACTAAGGCGGATAAATAGACTGTCGTCGCCTCCCCCATGCTGCTTTTTTTGCTGACAGAGTAGAGAAATGAGGTGTTTCTTTTTCCCTCCAGTTTTTCTATGCATAAGCAGGCTAATAGTTTGATCACTGTGTGTGTGTGTGTGTGTGTGTGTGTGTGTGTGTGTGTGTGTGGGGGGTGGTGTGTGTGTGTGTGGGGGGGGTGTGTCAGAGGTCATAGCCAGTTCTGAGGTCATAGCCAGTTCTGAGGTAGATATGCGCTTAAGTTCACTGTGTTGCTCAAGGACACTTAAGCCGGGTGGATGTTTGCTAATATCATGTGTTAATCTTGATCGGCCCGCCGAACGACCATCTGGAACCGGGCTTTTTTATTTTTTAAAGCTGTGTGTGCAAACGTCTAAGACTTTGTACTGCCAACCAAAATAATAATAGATGCTGAGATCTCTTGAAAGCAGCGTCGCGTAACATTTAATGAGATCGTATTTTGGCTGTTTTTTGGAATCTGGAATTTCAACTTCAAGTTGACAACTCAAGTGTTTTTTTTTTTTTTTAACCTGAGGGATTAAAATGAGTTGGCAGGAAGGACTGAAGGATACTCCCTTGCTGCAGACATGCCTTTTCTGATACGGGACGGTCTGTCTGTGGACCACGTCTCCCCGTCTGAATGAGTCGGACGGTCACAGTGTAGAAAGCAGCACCGGGGTTCCGTGCCAGCTCCCGCTGCCGTCTACTTGATATCTGAATGTCACCCGGTAATAAGTGAGGGGCGCTTGCCAGAAAATATTATTCCCAGCTCGTTTTCAACCTGTTGAAGCGCCACTCGGACACCAGTCCCACCAACGGAGCCGGTTTCACTTCCAGCTTCGGAGGGAGGAAGGGTTCAGACACACTAAGGGCATGGTTTATCTCTGGCAGCTCTCTTTTTCTTTTCTTTTTTGCGCTTCATTAGCAAGATTGAAGCAAAAGATATAGACTTAAATAAGGCGTTTGGGTGCGAGAGAGAGAGAAAATTGTCCGTTTAAAGGGGCAGGTGTTGGATATAATAGTGACCATGGCAAAAATGCCATGGCCAGAACTTCCACTGGCCATAAACATGCTTTCAAGTTGGAAGAATTGAGGAAAAATGTAAATGGTTTTACAACATAGAACCCACACTGTCTTTAATAGTCTGTGATGTTCAGGGACTGACTTGTTTCCCCCAGATCTATTCCCGTGACTCCAGAGAACCTTTTCACATTTCCATAATTCGACATACATTTATGTTCTACATCTGCACTCCGTTTCCACGGATTGGGTTGGAGTTACCGGCGGCTACACTAATTTGGATGATTCTCAGTTGGTACTGTTTCACATCTCCACGCCTTTCCCTCCTCCATTAGTCGTTTCATATGATTTGGGGCACTGAGCTCTCAACCCACGTGGAGCAACCAGAGTCCTGATTGTTTTTTTTCACTTCCGAGTAGTGAATGAAAGTTGTTTGGCAATGAGGCCTCTGGTGTTGCTGGAGTCTCTGACTTCTTTTTCCAAACTGCAGCACAGAAGCCAAGTCAGGTGACGGACACCCCGGCTCCACCTTTGTTTGCCCTCTCCGCTGCGTCCCCATCGGGAGGAAATCGGGCCCAAGGAGGCACCGACATCCAGGAAACACGCCGACTCTATTCTGGTAGCTCACATTGCCTTGACGAGATTTGAACACACGGTCGGGAAAATATGCGGGAGACAAAACCGTTTGTTTTACCGTGTTTTAACAATTTAAATCTGGGGGAGTGTTGCCCTGTGATGTCTAGTCTTACAGCATCTATTATGAGGAATAATATTGGCATTGTTTTGAACTGAACTCTGATTTGATGAGGGCATGTAGCAGTGATCTATTCAAGGTGTTTTGATTCAGCGGTGTTAGGGCTCAGGAGTACGGAGTCCGGTTTCCCCGTTTTAACGCCGCGCTGTAATCCGAGCAAGCGAGGCTTCCAGCTCTGCAGCCCAGGACTGTTTCTACTGTCCACAGTGATTACAGGAAAAAACAAACCACCCTTTGACTACTCTTTCTGCTGAATCAACCACCGCCAACCAAGTAATGTGGTTGTTTTCTTCAGAGTAAAACATGCTGCTTCCTATACAGCGAAGTAATCACACCACACTTTCGTCTCTCACCCTGTCACCCTAACTGTTTGCGGTATAGTGAAGCCGAGGCAATCACGTTCACGGGTTTACTCATTTCAGGCGACATTTGAATCTTTCGCTTCGTTGACGTTAACGGCAGACTAGAAGCCCAAGTGTTTCTCTACCGCTTCTACCACTTTTAGGTCTCCAAAATTCTCACGACCCCGACAATTAGGTGGCAGTTTAGTTGCCGCGTGATTTGGAGCGTGATGTACTTTTCCTTTTTTGTTTTCCCGCCAGCTGCAAGTGGATTATAATTAATAGTATTTAAAAAAAACAAAGCCAAATAAGTATGATTATACGAATTTTAAAGATCTCCTGTGACCCCGTCCTCGTGTCACACAATGACTCCGGAACTACAGATTGAGAAACTCTCTGGTTGAACATTGAGGCTGCAGAGAAACAGAAGTTCAAATGCAAAGTGAACCTTTTATTTGTAGTTACGAGTTAGAGACACACGGCAATCACTGAAAATGTATCGCAGGCATTTGGAAATCTTTTGTAGGCCACTGTATCTATTAATGTGTCCACTCATCTATTTTCGTGCCAAAGTAGCACTTGGTGTCGACTGTGCAGAACCACGGAGGTGCAGGTGCAACGTCAAAAGTCTCGCTTTTTAGATAACATACTTTCACACCTGATTTGGTGGAAGACGACATGTGATATCGCTGTTTCTACTGGCAAGAAGAGAAAACCAAAACACTGAACTCTTGCCCAGCCCTTCATCGCAGACACACTCCGCTGCCTTTTTCTGCTCGACCGGTGTTAATTCTCACACCCGGCTCTGAGATTATTCCGGGTAGCATCGTTCCTGCCGGTCCCTCTCTGCTCCCCCTCCTCTCCGTCTGAAACATCTGGACGAAGTGGCCTTTGATCTGCCTCGCATTAGCCGCGTCTGTATTCCTCCCTGCCTCGTCCGAGCTGCTGCTCAGACTTCAGAGATGCTCCGATGACGGATAGTTGTGGATAAAGACGGAGCTGTGTCGACCAGCGTGTGTCTCAGTCTGCCTTTTTTTTTTTTTTTAAATGCAGCATAATAAGAGACTTTTCAACAAAATAAGAGCGCGAGAGCAAACTTGCTGTCAAAGATAACGTCTCTTGAGACTTTATGTTTTTCGGCCCGTCTGCCCTCCAGCAGCGTGGGCCACCACTGATAGTCTAATCTACTTCTCTCAGTTTCCTTGTTAACCAGCAGATTGCTACATCCGCCTTGTGCTTGTCTGTGGGCCTAGAATCCGGCTCTACCGTTTCATTAGGTGGATGATATGGTTAAAATGTTTGCTGTGGGTGTAATGTAGGCTACAGCTCTTCAGTAGAAGAGGAGTCGCTTCATTTTCTAAGTGCATTCGACACATAACTGGAGTTTGTTCTGTCCGTTTAGTCTGTCTTAAGTAACAAGAAACGTTCTCTGCCAATCTGGTGATTGGTCCAGGAGCGTCAGGGGTTTTTGGAGGGGGGTGGGGCATTTTCAAAGTTTTATTGTGCTAATTTAATGGTCTGCCTCATTGAGGAGTAAATAATGATCCTGTAAAGCGTGCGCGTATTGCTGTTGGGCCTTTTTGTGCGCGTTCTTGTGCCGATTTCACAAATATTCACTGATAAAAGCACTACCAACATGTCTGAGGATTTCACAAAGGACAATTCTAATTCAAATGCTGGGTTTAACAAATAGAATCTATACAAGTAAATATTTTGCAGCCATATCAAATTGTTTATAGGATATTAAACCTTTAATTCCTTATAATACATGTACTACTTGACTTCTTTCTTTACAGGGCTTGTATAGAGGCAATACAGAATATATTAGGAATGTGAGATGGGAGTTTACAGTTGAATACTATTCCTTCTCAGCATTGTGGAGGTTGGTTTATGGCTTATTTTCTGCTGCATAGTATACATTTTGTTTGTACGCCCTCTGGCGTTTCGTAGCATGATGCTACAAACAGCGCGTTGAGCATGAACGCCTTTGTGCGTGCTCACGCTACGATGCCACAAAGCTTCCGTGGTTTCTGTCCGATCGCTTGGCGTCGAGAAGCAAGTCAATTAATAAGTCCCGTTTAAGAACTAGGCCAAAACCTGCGCGTGCAGTTGTGCACCCTGATTGTTTAATGGCACCGTTATGTTATTCTCGCCTGTTTGTTCAGGGACAGCCTAAATAAAGTCTGATCCTGAACACCGTCCTGTCTGCTACCACCGCTCACCTTGTCAACAAACTCTTTTTTTTTTCTTTTTTTTTTCCTTTTTCCCCCTATGTCCCTCACATGGGTGCAACCTGCGAAATTCATGGAGTCGTGCCATTCCCCTAAACTGTCACCATTAACGTCCCAGTTTACAGCACCGTAGTGACTCAACACAGCAGATGTAGGCAGCTATCGGCCACTTGGTTTTTGTGCAAGGTGTCATGACAAAAATACAAACTAAGTTCAAGCATCAGTCGCACAATAAGGGAAATGGTGAAATCAACACACTAAACAGCAGCTGCAGATGGGCGATATCGGTCTTAAATGTCTTGTGGTCACGCTGTCAAACAGACGGTAGTCATGTCAGGAGTGATCTTTGTGAGGAATGTGTGGATTCGTGAAAAGAAAATAGCATTTTCCTCTAATATATCCTCTCCTGATATAAAATGGATAGTCAAGGTTGGAATATACATCGAGGCTTATTTCCAAGGAGCGGGCGTACGTTCACTCTGAATAACGGTCGCACAAAAGTCCGGCTGACACAAAGGAAAGCATCTTTTCCTTGACGCGTGTCGGCGGTGTTCTGTTCTGAACGTCTTCCAGTTTGAACCCAGGATGTGCTGCTAACCACTGAGCCACCGTGCCATCCAGATTGACACGGATGACAACTGGAATGGAAACGGCGCCTGTTAAAAGGGTGGAGTTGTATTGCAAGGGGCTTATTGTTTATATTCATTTATTTTCCCGCGACCTCTCCATCATCATGCATGCATTCACCACACGAGTGAAACAGACCCATGAGTCACAGGGATACCATCAGAGCACAGAGATAGTATTGCAGTCACTTCCTTCACGCTGCGCTCTGGTGTGACTTAAAGTCTGCTTCCAGGCAACAAGCGGTCTCTCCTGTAAGGGATCCGGCTTTTACAGAGTTTTCCTCCACTGGCTCCGCCTTCGGCAAACGGCCCCGTGATTATTGACAAATCCCAGCAAACATTTCGGCCCAGAAATTGGCAGAGGTGTTGGTGTGTGTGTGTGTTTATTTGCATGCCTGCGTTCATGTCCAGCAGGGGGCAATGGACTCCCACACACCGAGGGCATTTGGGCAGCAATGGAAGCTGGGAGTACAACT